TATCAAATTGTAACTTTACTTCTTAAAAGAATGGGAAATGTATGATGTTAGGTGTCACCAAACCTCCTTTGGTCCCATAAAGCCATCAGCAGTGGTGATGGCATAAATAGCTATCCTGAGCCATGGGTTTATGCAGGTTGAGGTATTTGACTACTTGAAGTGTGTCCTGCAGTTTGGGAAACTTGGTATATTACCTTGAATCATAGTGCTCCTAGACAACTTATAAATGAAAGGTAAATGAATTTTGTATAATGACAAATATATTTCCTGTGCTGTATGCTCACTTGCTTAAATGATTTTTGCCTGTTGCTGTAGGAGAGAAAATGACAAAATATTGAAAATAATTGGTGCTAAATGTAAAAAAAAAAAGACAAAAAAAGGACATATTTTCTTTGGGGTCAGAAAGATAAAGGAGAACAAACTTTTGCTTCTAAAAAGCCTCGAAAAAGTGCGTGTGTGTATATATAGTCAATATAGTTGGCACAGTGTATAGGCCAATGACAATACGTACTTGTACTGAGTGCTGTAGATGTTTGAACTTGCATAGTTGAACTTAGAACATTTACTGATTTGAGAAAGAACTTGGAAAGGATGGAATATATTAAAATTTTCCTGTTTATTATAAGAGAAGATATTTCACATGTGCTTCCCCCCACCTTCTCCACAAAATCTCTTGGCCATGCTTTTGCCACCTGGAGACTGATGATACCTCCTATCAGTCATGTCTTTGGAAGCCCTGTTCAGTATTGTGACATGTTGAGTGGTCATCAGGATCCAGTCTATTTTTTTTTTTTAACTGTTGACATCATCTGAGAGTGGAATAACATTATCACTGCAACTGAATATCACACCTTTCAGGGAAGAGGTAACATTAGAAAGAAATAGTCCCTGTATGCTTAGCCTGGAGAACTAAAGTTTTACAGCGTAGGGCGTGCTTCTCTCCCGGTGGAACTGGGAAACGTATTTCAAAATTGTCTTTAATTAAAATTGATTATAAACAAAGTAAGGTTTACAGGGAAAGGTGTTGTCTTTCTGTAGACCAACTACTATAACAAACTTCCCAAGCTTTTGGTACGACAAAGACCATTCTGATCTGAAGCAGAGACGGTGAACTTCAAGCTGACTATTACTGTTAACGCTGATGGTGTCACCTATGTTTGCAGCTATCCTTCTGGAAAGTGAAAGCGTGTGTGACAGTCACAGCTCGCCTCCTTCCCGCCCGCCCCCAAAAGCTAGCCAAACTATCATATTTCCTTTTCAACTAAGCTTCAATTAATTCTGACCCTACAGCCCACATCCACAGGATAATCACAGAAATGGGAAACGCTAATATGTGTCTTGGGAGACTGGCTCTCCAGTCCTGTCTGGTTTAATGATACAGCACATTTGGAATGATGTAACTGAATACAAACTCACCATGCTTATCCCCAGCATGCCAGGTATTTTTGTTTATAATGACTGTTTTTACGCTATTTGAAGTGATGCAGCTTAAAGAAATGAGGGTACCCATGTAGGAGCGCCCTGATTGTAAAAATGAGTATAGCAACAAAAAGTATTTGTTTGGGTTTATCTACTCATTGGGGGATTTGAGGTAATAATCCACCATCTAATACATGCTTATCCTGGGCCAAATTTTTGACAGGTTATGAGCAGGTGATTTTCCTTGACTGACTTACCACTTTGTGTTGGTATTCATTCTGTTTACGTTGCGTGTCTGGTTATCTTTTCCATTTGCAGAACCTGTGAAGTGTTTGATGTATTTGTATAAACAATTCAATTCCTGAAAATATGTTCTGAACTAGATGCCATTACTGTACAACAATACACTAACAACATTCTGAGATCATTTAAAGCCCTTTGTTTAGTAACAGAGTGAATGTTATTAGACTGTTACAGTAAGTACGTCAACATTAAAAAACAGCTTGTGAAAATGAAGAGTTTTTGAATTCTAGAATTATGGAGGATATCAAGTTGGCGCATCTGTTTCTGTCTCTAATTTTTCAGTGAAATGTTTTTCTATTGATTCTTGACAAAAGCGTTTCCCATCAAACCAGGCGTTCGGGTTTCAGTTTTGACAATTGCACCTCTAAAAATCATTTCCAGTTCAAGTTTTTGAGATTGAGGTTGAAAACATAAAATTAAAAATTTCTGTTCCTTTTGTTTGCCTTTCAATTACAGTACTTAAAAGTCATGAGTTGCTCCTTGCAGCCACAATGACTGGAAACGCATCATTTCCTCTAAAATAAAAGCTAGTATTTTCATGGAATTGCATGTCTTCAGAGTAAAGATAAAAAATATTTAGAAACTTTTACGAGATCATCAAATCTGTTAATATAAGCAGTATACATTTTTATTCCACTTCCCCCTGTTCCCCACAATTATTTGTATTGGAATTTAGTCTGTACAAAGAACTCTTCCCTTGCTGCTGGAGCAACCAAAGCTGTATTGAGCTGCTTAGTGTAAATATTGTATATAAAGCTGTACCATGTGAAGGCATATCAAGTATAAGTACAGGTGTAGGGTATACAATGTATTGTATAATTTCAGAGAGCAAAGGAGCCTGCATGGGAGCTGTTGCTTGTGTTCGGGACTTAGGCAAATAGGAGGTAATGAGACCCAGAAAGATTTGTGCTTGTATTCTCTTGCTCCCCATGTTCCTCTTTGTGACAGTTATGCTTCCTCGTGTCCTGTCCCAAAGCTATTCCAATTGAGTGGCAAAACTGTTGGCTTTTGGATGTTGAAATAGTTCCAGGTGTGCTGTCTACAAGAAGAGTGCTCCAAAACTCAGAGGGTTAGAAATCTTCCATTGGGAAAGCTTGCCTATTACAAGGATTTACGCATTATTCATCTGTATTTGTTTTTCTTTGAAGTACTACAAATGTTCGGTCTGTTTGTAATATTTTTAAGATAATTTTGAACTGTTCCATTATATAGTTTCAAATATGGTTCGTTATTTTCTTTTTTCCAGTTGTTTCAAGACTGGCAAATGAGACAAGTATTGCCATTCAAAAGAAAATAATTGCAAACATTATCTCTCCTTGAAAAACAGGTTTATACTTTGCCTCTGTATCTATATATAAAGTTTCTGTAGTTGATAGAAAGTGATGCAAGTTAACATGTAGCATGTGATAATTTCAGTTTTCTTGATGTATCAAATACTTGTTCGTTGTCTCTGAACCGTGAATAATTTAATGGCTTTTGCTTTATGATATGAGGTGTCTGCTAACTTTGAAGTTCAGTAGTCAACACAAAAGTTTGCTGGAGCTGACTAATGATTCACCAGAGATTTTTGAGAGATATTTTGTCATCAATTTAAAGCTTGGCGAGGTTTGCTGTTGCAGCCATCTGGTAATTCTTCCTTCTCTGGAGGAAAGAGAAGCCTTTTGATAAAATAGATCAAAGCATTCTGCTCTTTCAGTGACTGATACCTATAAGTAACTTAGAAGTTTCTCAAAATGACTTCACAATGCCGGTATCATTTGCCAAACTTTTGCATTCTAGTTACAATTCATGACCAATATTGTATTGTATTTTAATTATATTTAAATCATTATTTAAATACTTCTGCTTGTGGGTAATTTACAGATCTAAGTGTTTTGTAAACCCAGGGATTTCTAATTTAGCAAATGCACTGTCATGATTAATAAAATCGATGCTAAATCTTGTTGTTCTTTGTACTAACTGTACAGGTAAGGGTACTCTCAAAGACTGTACTTCTGCTATACCATAAGCCTAAGATGTAGAGGTACCTCTTAGACTGTAGGTGATGTACAACTATAGTGTAAAAATACCTACCATACTATTTCTAGAACTAATTCTGTTAGCAATTTGAATTCTGGTGTGGGGTTTGCAGATGTTTGGCAGTGAAGAGCAAATATGGAGAGAGTTAGGACGGGAAGTGTGCGCTGCATCATCCACTTGAAATGGGACTAATCTACCACTGGTTTGTACGTACACATTTGAGATTTGTCTGGAATCAGGATGTTGTTTCTGTTCCATCAGACATTCCGGATGTGCAATTGCCATGACCGCACATGTCCAGTCTTCTCGAAGAGTGGGTTTATTGCATCATAAGTGCGGCACAAGCAGCCAAAACAGAATGATGAAATTGGCTTTTACCTTGCAAGTTGTTTAGTTAAAGGATGTCTGAGTGAGATTTGGTGCTGTGTTACACTAGAAGAAAGGGAAAGCATTAGCTTGTAATGTACCATACCCCTGTGTTTGAAAAGAGGCAGTGTTTTCTTACTAGGGGTGAGTTAGCGCACAGCGGAACTAAGGAGATGTCTTTGTGCCGTCCACTCTTCCTTATATTAGAAGGTTGTTGTAATGATTGATGTACTGACAAAATAATTAAACCTCATATGTCACACTGTCCTCAATTAAAGCCTATAAAGGAATTTCAGAAATAGTTGATGTGTCTTGGGATGTAGCCTGTATCATCCTAACAACTATATGTAGCGTTTATTAATAGGTTAGCCTGATTATCATTTAACTGTTCCAAGTATTGCATTGGCTAAATGACAGATGTCAATGAATACTAGGTAGTTACCACAAGTTCTTCAAACTTGCTGTTCTTTACATTAGGTAGTTTGGAGAGAGGAAAAGACTTTTAAAGAGGCTGAGTTTTTAAGGACTTAATAAATTTAAAATGCAAACTAGGTAACTAATATGGTACTAAATTCTCAGAAAACAGAATGATGGGCGTTTGGTGAAGGAATAACTAATTTTTCACATGTTAAAATTTGCTTGAACTCAGATGTAGAAGTGGCATATAGGTAGCAGAAGAAAATTCCATGTACTTGTGCTTGTTGTTATTGTTTAAACTTTTCAGTGAGCTATCCGAGATAGGTCTGGTGCTCTGATTTTTCATTAAGTCCACAAACAATGGCAAATTTGTAATCTCATATTTCATAGTCTTCCACACTTTTATGTTCTGCCTGGTGTATCACTGAATGGGATGCATATGTTTACCTGATTGTTTACCTCCTTGTCTGCTCAACATGTGCTTCCTAGCAGCTACAGTTGAACATTTTTCTTCTTCTTTGTTTTTTTTTTTTCAGTGTGGGAACTTTGCTGTTTTGGTGGATGTTCATATTTCGCCTCAAGGCTCCAGTAAAGACACCAGCTGGTTTTCAGATCATGAGAAAGAGGTACAACAAATCTCAATTCTACTTCAAAAGCATGTGGCTG